CGAGTGGTTCAAATTGCAAACATGATTAAAACAATATGGGACAACAAACATCGGGAATTTAATATTACTAAAATAAAATGTTCATAATTCATAGCCAAGCTACCGAAATCTATACTCTCTACAGATAAGTAAAATTGGAGTGTCTGTTTGGAATATTAAAATAACCGCTTTTAACCACATGCATATGAATAATACATAATACATACACACGATACACATACCAAAATAATATTATTTACAATTGTTGTATGTTTGTGCTGGCTAATCTCTGTAACGGCTAAACCTATGTTGCAAGACTTTTATTGGTAGGGAACTTATGTACTATAGAATAACATAGGCTACTTTTGTTCTGGAAAATTGAAACAAAAAAGTTATGTTCTAAAATTCATATACCATTCTACAGTATTTGTGTAAAATTACACCTGCTATAGTCTTACTAACGAAACTAAAATTATAAACATGCAAAAGTAACTAAAATTATAAATATAAATCAGACCACCACAGATACGGCCCAATAAGGCTAGGTGAGGCAGGAGGGAGTGTCAGACTCTTACTGACTAAAAACCACCCCGTTCCTTCTCCTGCACGTCGAGCCGGAGCCCCGGTTACCCGTTAGGTTCTCCGCGACTCCGAGATTTTATGGTGTACATGCGAAATCTTTTTCGTTTTCGTCCATACAATCCAACATAACATCACGTCTTTAATCCCCGAAGGTATAGACAGAGGTGCACATTACGGCACTTAATGTTCAATGTAGCATCCACTTGTCATTACTTATGTTATGATAATGGGGGTGAGCTGTTGATAATGTAACAAGAACTCAAATAAAATTGACGTCAATTCCAATCACAATCATCACTTGTTACAACTCATTACTAAAAACAATACCACCACAATACAGTAATGCCATCAGTGATCAGATAATTATACCAATGTTATCCGTATTATGTGACTAACAAAAAACATAAGCTCCCACTCATTAAGCCTTTACCAGCCGTATTAATAGCACGCCATGCTATTGTACGATTTCATTTATTTTACATTTCGTCACGTGTACCGAATAAATACGCTACTGAATACGGTGAGGTTTTTATTCCTGAACCAATACTCTTACACTTGTATTTTTCAACGAATTGGGTTTTTAACATACAAAAAACATATACATAACATCACGCCTTTTATCCCCGAAGAGTAGGCAGAGTTGCACATTACGGCACTTAATGCCACTGTACAATGTAACACCCACTTTTCACTATTTATGTTCCATGTAGTGGTAAACCTATTGCCATATACCGGGCACAATTCCAGACTAAGTGCTACCACTGAGATTTTTTTTTTTAAATCCAGTTGTACTTTGCCCGACCTGAAAATCGAACCCGAGATCCCTTGCCCGGCAGTCGCACTTGCGGCCACGAGGCCACGAGGCAGTCATTGGTTTTTTAATACTTCGAAACGAATTATTTAAATTAATAATCAAAATGTAGTCAGTCAGTCACAATTATAGCCACAAATTAAAGAAATTGACAATGCTAATACAACTTCGACTGGAAGCCTAACCCCCCCCCCCCCTCCTAATCCCTGAATCTCCGACATTCCTCAAGTTCCTAATCCCCAAAAGGCCGATATCTAAACTACACGTAAACGGTAAACGTATTTGTAACGCCTCTGGTGTTCCAGGTATCCATGGGCGACGCTGATTGCTTACCATCAGGTGATCCGTCTACTCGTTTACCGGCTTATGCCATATAATATAAATACAGCATCGGTTTAAGACTAGTTATTTTAAGTTCCCTGTGGAGTCTCTAGTTTTCTAAAACTTACTTTACTCCAATTTTTTTGGTCAGAAAATGCCTTATATTTTTTACGTTAATACCTCTATAATGGGGATGATGATATAATTAAAAATATAATTAGTCCGTAACTTAGGTAATAAAAAAATATTAGACACGTATTTTTTTATTTTGTTGTATAATAAAACAATACTTACATAAAACGAATCAAAGTTTAGGAGTGGGGGCTAAAACGTCATTTTTTAGTATAAAATGTACTGAGAAGTGACGTCACGCGACATTTAAAATCAATATATCTTCGAAACTATTCGTTTCCGTAAGAAAATAAAAAATACGTGTCTAATGTTTTTAAATAATCTACCAGACGGACATTAAAATAAAAATTTGTCGTCTACCCCATTGTTTATGACAATAGGCTGGTCACGATTTATCTAAAGCGTGCTATATAATCCTGTGTACACAGACAAAACTTTTAGTTTTACAGTTTAGTTCGCTATTACTGGGTTTTTAAAAAAAATCTCAGTAGTAGCACGGAGTCTGGAATTGTGCCCGGTATAATAGCAATAGTCTCATCCCCTATTACATGGGACTCATAACATAAATAGTGAATAGTGGGTGTTACATTGTACAGTGACATAGTGTGCACCTCTGCCTACCCCTTAGGGGATAAAAGGCGTGATGTTATGTTATTTTAATCCAATTTAGATACACAAAGTTATAAACATCATATTCAGTAAAAACTGAAAATAGGAAGAATTTTATTTAGATACAGAAAAAAAGTGAGGCACAAGCGCCAATTGTTTCGTAAAATACCTCTACATGTTCGATATTTTTCCAAACATTAACCGATCGGCATGACAAACAAAATATAATAAAATTTTAAATCAAAACGGCAGATTAAATTGTTCCAAAAAATCCAATTTGTTAACTCACATAATTTTTTATTTAGAAAACAACACTCATTTGAAATGAAAACGTAGGCGACAAAAAAATTCCACATTTTGATTCGCAATTAACAAATCTGTATTCACGACAGGCCTTGCTTAAAAATCCTTTACGCGTTTATGCATAAAGCGAGCAATGTAAATGCAAATTTTCGCAACGACACGGCATGCCCACCAGAGTCCTGTATTTTGTCAGCAAACACGTTTTTAATTAATTCGCTTATTTATTTGAGGCTATAGTGATGGGACGTGAACTATTTTCCCGGTACCGGGATTTGAATTAGACCATAGGAATGTGTAGAACACCTTGGAATGAGCAAATAGCTTTATTTTAATTTTTTTGTTGACGTTCAAAAGTACCTTTATAGTCTAATTGAAATAAATGATTTTGACTTTGACTTTGACTTTGACTTTGACTTGCTTCTTTCATGGGTGATTTGATGACAAATTTTTTGATTATGTTGTCAATGTATTCGTATCTCTTTTTGTAATCATATTACTATTCAGAAAACTTTACTCTAAAACGTATTTTATTAATAATTATATCGAAACGGCAAGGTCTATCAAACAAGACATGTGTAATGTTATATGTATTATTCAAACAGAAAATATAAACAATTTTTGCAACATACAAAAACATTGTTTTACAGAAATATTTTATTTGCAAAGTTTAAAATAAACCCTCGAGTATAATGTAAACGTTTGATCCCTACATCGAATAGTAAATAAAATAAATAAGTAGTAGAATACTGTTTTTTTAAGTTCATGAATGCGTTTGTATTTATAATTTAGTTGGTACCTACTTAGTTTTTTATTTTCTTTTCTGACTACATGAAACGAATTTTTAAATCTTTAGTATCAAAGTCAAAGTCAAGGCATTTATTACAAATAATCCTTAATAAGGCACTTTAGAAACGTAAAAAATTGAATTGTCCGTCTGTCTGTCTGTCAGTAAAGCTAGGTGCTCGATCCAAAGTGTAATTTGGAATGGAGAAGAACAAGCAAGAAACTCCATCGGTACTCTTTTAAAACTATCATATCTATCATACATAACATAACATAACATAACATCACGCCTTTTTATCCCCGAAGGGGTAGGCAGAGGTGCACATTTCGGCACTTAATGCCACTGTACAAT